TGTGTATATGAGAACGGTCAAATAGGAAAAATTACAGATGTAATTTCAAAGTGAAGGCTTAGAATAGACCCTATACTTAAAATCACACTTTTTTTCACTTCTTGGACAACCAAACAATCACAGTCTTCAAAAGATTGTGTCATACATAGCAACGGGGTCAGCCCCGCCTCACTAAGATGAACGTTTTGGTCTTTTAAATACTCCGATACAGATCGGTCCCGAATCGCTCTTAAGATAAGACTCTTAAGATAAGGCTAAATTTAGTTTTCTGAGAGAATTCTTAGAATCTTTATAAATATGGGCCTAGGTTCCAATGTGTCTGCTCCTAAAGATTTCTTAGGGTCTAGTTCTAGTAACGCATCAAGAACTTCCTTGCTTGAAAATTGTCTGAAAGAAAACCCACATTCTCAGTATCAGCCAACAGAGTACCTCCAAAAAAATCCATGGCCCATATGTATAAAACTTCTAAGAAATGCTCTTAAGAATAGTCTTAAGCTTTGACTTAAGGGTCAGAAAATACTTAGTAAAGAGTAGGACTTTTCTAAGAGTAGGAGACTTTTATATATATTATATATATAAGACTGATTCTTAAGCGCTTTCTGAAGTGGGACTTAAGTGCTGTGAACTAAGGACTACAATGATGTGAACCCAAAATGTCCGCCCTGAACCTCTGAATCAGCCAATAGTGAGCCTGCAAGGGTGAGGTCACAGCAGCATGACAAAATTAATTCATTATTTAATTAAGACATATCAATTATTTCAATTCATGTAGAATAATTGATTTTTGCTTTGTGCAAAAAAAAAAACAAATATGTACATGCATTTATTTCACATAATTTTAATAGAGTTTCAACACATTAATTAAATGGACAAATGTGATGCTATTTAAGTAATTAAGCTTATGAATCACATAATTAAAAATTGCACTCACAGGTCACAGCTGTATATAAAGGAAAGACAAAAGTTGCAAATTGTTAAAAATGGATGCAAAAAGAAAACCCTGACGATCAAGCCTGTATTGTTTCATCAAATCTCTGTCATCATATAATTCCAACACATTCTTACATTGTTGGAAACTACGCGGCCTCCACCTCTCTGCTGCCATCTTGTTACTCCTAACTGGTTAAGAGACCTCTCCAGCTGTCTTAAATAATTTAGGAGCTGAGACCTAGTCTTAACACTTAGGAACCTTTATGAATCACACTTATTCTTAAGAATAAGAGTAAAATGACGTCATTCTTAGAATTTTGACACACTTAAGACAAAAAAATTACTCTGAGCAGCTTTATACATACCGGCCCTGACTTATACTTTACTGAAAGTTGCTTTTAGCTGCTTTATAAAAGTCTCCTACTCTTAGAAAAGTCCTACTCTTTACTAAGTATTTTCTGACACTAAAGTCAAAGCTTAAGACTATTCTTAAGAGCATTTCTTAGAAGTTTTATACATACGGGCCCTGGTCAAAAATTTTAATTTTGATGATTTAGCTACTGAATCAAATATACAGCTTGCAGAATTAAAATGGCGATTAAATTTTGTCATGTTTATCAGTGATGGTGTCAGAGTGAATTAATTTCATTCTAAGAATTCTCTCAGAAAACTAAATTTAGCTTTAAATCTTTTACGTAGGAGTCTTATCTTAAGAGCGATTCGGGACCGATCTGAGAGCAACTCTGAGTATGGAAAAGACAAAAACTTTCATCTTAGTGAGACGGGGCTGACCCCGTTGCCAGTGTTGTGCATGAACGCGTTCATTGAACGATAGTTCATGAACGCGTTCATATTTTGGGCGAACGTGAACTGAACGTACTGCTTTACTGGCTGATGAACGTTCCTGTGAACTCGTTCATTCTGGTGTCTTTAAACGGCACGTTCTATTAGTTTACCCTCGTTTAATATGATGCCAGATTTCTATAGTGCCTTCTTTGCGCAAACCCGGAAACAACAGATATTAATATGTATCGGAAAAAACACCCAATCTGGCAACATCAACCACTAGTGTCGCACCGCCGCATCATCATTAAAATAAAAACCAAAAGTATCTATGAGCGACAAAGGAGCAAGGAGGCGTCGAATTGTACTTTTAATGAGTTTTATGACAAGGTCGGTGAGGATGGGCAAAATCAGACGTTTTTGTGCAAACTTTGCCCGCCGGGTTTTAAAAATAAAATCCGCACATCAATATCATCCAAAGCAACCTGAAACGGCATATTGAATTAAAGTACAATCAACGACAAAAACCTGATAACTGCCTACAGTAGCGGCTCCGTTGTCATCTCCCAGGCGCAGCTGGACAACCTGGTGGTGCAGTATATTGTCGGAGACCTGCAGCCTTTGAGTAAAGTGGAAAGCCCAGCTTTCGTTAACTTAATTAAACGGTTGCAGCCATCCAAAAACGTGCCATCAAGAAAGAAGGTACAGACACTGTTAAACCCACAAAACTGTTAACCCCATAAAACACAACACTGCCCTGCCCTCAAGCGCTCCAGTATGAGGCTCCTCAGCATGTGGTCTAATATTCAGGTAGGAATAAACAGTGATTATATTACAATATAATAATTACAGTAAATACCCAGTCTCAATCAATAGTTATTGGTGATATTATTATAGTTCTGGTTTTCAATATAAACATGTCCAATTATTTCAGTGATTGCCTCAGCTCACAATTGCTTTAATAGATATTACTGTGATCATTTTTGGCATGATAATCATGATGTTAACATTTCTTGTTCTTCATGTCTGTGGTTCTATATGGGCTCTGGCAATAATATGGAAAAAAGAACTATAAATGAACTAGTTCAAAATTTGAACTATGAACTATGAACTGAACTAGTTCATTTTAAAATGTGTGAACTGAACTTTGAACTAGTTCATGTAGAAAGTGAACTTTCCCGACACTGCCCGTTGCTATGTATTACACAATCTTTTGAAGACTGTGATTGTTTGGTTGTCCAAGAAGGGAAAAAAAGAGTGATTTTAGGTATAGGGTCTATTCTAATTATTGAAATAATTGTTATGTCTTAATTAAATAATTTATTAATTGTGTCATGCTGCTGTGACCTCACCCTTGCAGGCTCACTATTGGCTAATTCAGAGGTTCAGGGCGGACATTTTGGGTTCACATCATTGTAGTCCTTAGTTCACAGCACTTAAGTCCCACTTCAGAAAGCACTTAAGAATCAGTCTTATACTTTACTGAAAGTTGCTTTTAGCTGCTTTATAAAAGTCTCCTACTCTTAGAAAAGTCCTACTCGTTACTAAGTATTTTCTGACACTTAAGTCAAAGCTTAAAACTATTCTTAAGAGCATTTCTTAGAAGTTTTATACATACGGGCCCTGATCTCGGGCTTCGAATATCCATTGAATATCCAATAACGAATATCCAACCAACTTGACCTCGGTTTCTTAAGTTTAAGATACAAAACCGATGGCTAAAAATTGGAAGTAACTCGCTAGCTAGTTTGTTAGTTTTGCTGCGTTAGCTACGTTGTTTGCGCACGCGCAGTGACCTAAGTGTCAAAAAAAGTCAGATGTCATCTGATGTCACGCGATCTACCCACAGTACCTTCGAGATCGACTAGTAGATCGCGATCAACGTATTGAGCACCCCTGCCGTAGAACAACAATCAACAACAAGCATAAATGAGGCTAGCAGTTGTTTTAATTACTTTGCTCGCCCTCAGTCAGAAGACTGTAACATTTTTTTTCCTATCATCCACAGCAGACATGTAAACTAGCAAAGGTTTTTAACAGCAAGAATGGAACCAACCGTAAGTGGTTGAGTTACTGTGAAGAAAACCACTCTCTGTACTATACTATTTGTTTGGCATTTGCACCCGTTGTCAGTGAAAGCCCTTTCATAAAAGGAGGTATGAAAGCTTGGAAACATGTTCACCAAAGGGTTGAGGAACATGAAAAGGGTAAAATGCACAGAGATAGTGCAGACACTTACTTTGTAAATGCAAAAAAGGCAGATGTTAAAAAGCCTACTAACTAGCAACCAAATGTCATTACACCGTGAGCAAGTAAAGAAAAAGCGTCAGGTGATGGAGCGCATATTGGATGTCACTAAAGTTTTAGGCAAATGTGGCCTTTGTTATCGGGGAGTCAAAGAAGAGTCTGCCTATACCTTAGAAAATGTTGCTGTTAACCATGGTAACTTCCTAGAATAGATTCTACTTTTAAGCAAGTATGATATCTGCCTTCAACAGCATGTTAACAGTTGCATAGAGAAAAGTAAGAAGCCCAGTGGGATAGGCTAAAGAAGTCTCCTCTGGAGAATTTCATTGTCAGGACCGCCAGTGAGATGCCACAGGGAAGTAAGGAGGGTTGTTTGGCTGGACAGGAAGTGCAACTTAATTGCAAGACATGTTCCTCCTGCAAAAACTGTGCCATTTGTGTGTACCTTGTACTCTCACAGTACAATATGTTAACTGAGGCTTGCCATGTGATTGGACTAGCCTACAAGTTTATGCTTACACTGTCCATCATTGCCTTACACTATACATTAACGAAAGTTATTTCTCCTGAAATCCATGGCATGTTTTCCCTATACCTTTGTAAAATTGTGAGCGTGGAATGAGACAGACATTTGGCACATGGATGGTAAATTTTCACTATTTGGCGAACATAATCTCTTAGATAGCGACTAGGTCCATTTCACAAGAATTTCCAATTGTAGAATTAGTGCGAACTTCGATTGCAATAATATACAGCTTTTATGACTGGGACTTTTGACAAGCCAGCTGATACCTACTACCCAGGGACGGACTGGGACTAAAAAACCGCCCTGGACTTTGACAAGGCCCGGCCCAAAGCAATCAGCATGAGAAAACTTTTCAAAAGTAAAAGCACAACATATTTTCTTAATATTAGCTACTGCATGTGGCATTTTACAGCTAAAATGTTGAAGTTTAGCAGTTTTAACTACATCATACACATGGCCAAAAATATAATTCAGAAAATAAAAGCTTAAAACAATTTCTAAAGATATATTGTGGCATCTGGTGGGGTGAATCGAACAAGCGCCTTCCGGATCCACAGCCGAGCACCCTAACCACTACTCCAAACAGATTAGTAGGGAAACAGGTGATGACTGCGAATTTTTTACACAATTGTAACGTGTGTTTTAGATGACTTCCAAGAAGACGGGTCTCCATTGGTCAGTAGATTGCATTCTTTGAATTTCATTTGTCTATGTAACGATGGCAGACATACTGTATAAATGTAAAATGTCTAGGAACAAAACCCAATACTATGAAGTGAGTTTGTGAGCATACCACCCGAGGCTGCAAAAAGCCACGTTCCGGCTGCCCAGCCATCGTGATAATGCAATCTGCTGCTCGAAATCCGGCTGATCAATGGAGACCCGTCTTCTTGGAAGTCATCTAAACCCCGCCCACACGTTACAATTGTGTCAAAAAAATTCACAACTGCAAAAAAAGAAACCGAGAGCAAAAACCTGAACTCGCAACTGCAGAAAAAGACCGAGAGCAAAACCCATGGCAACATAAGCAGAGATAGAAAAAAAACTGCAATACATTTGTCTTTGCATTTAAAACGTTTTGATTTCTTGCGGATCTCGATACCTTTTCGTGGATGTTTTGCATTCAATATTAATTTTTTTGTTTGCAATACATATTTTTTGGTTGCAATAGTAATAATTTTGCTTGTTCTTTTTGAGACAAATGTAACACCATAGGTGGGGTGTGGTGAGATACCTCCCTGAAATTACTTTTTGCAGGCTGAGATGCCTTACAATGTATACTACTGTAGATAATAAATCTTTACGGTACCAGTCCAGAAGTTGGGCAAGTAGTGTATTGAGCAGATTATTATTGCACTGTTACTACTCCCCTATTACCGCTAATGTCCAGGCGCTTGGACTCATCAGACTCCAACATAATGATCTCTATTGGACATACACATTTACAGGACAGGCTAAATGACATAGGGAAGGAAATCTACTAATCTCTAAATCACTGAAATATGTGAAGCTAAACCAAAGCAGCAGTATCTCATTAACCCAATTATGCTATTGAGCGTCCGAGCTACGAATGTGATCCAACACTAGAAAGTGACACCACACTCCACTCTGATAGCATGCAGTTCCACATGACCTTTATTATGATGTATTTTCCTGCATTAATGTTTTTATTGCTAGAAACCATGGAGGAAGGACCCCTGTCAGACCCTAGTTTTTTACGCTGCAATAGCTTGGTTTGAACTGTTCAATATGATGGAGATGTAATCCATGAATACTCGCATGGAATTGCATGGGCGCTACATCTGTTGACCCTGTTAACCCTCCCTGGTCCAATGAAAATGTGTCAGTGACCGCTTCAAAAGAGTAATATTTTATTTCCTACATCTACTTGGTAGATGTATAATGTATATATGCTATATACTATGACTGAAATTGAGACATATAGGTCATTTGTCTATAACACCATATACACATTTGTCTGAACAGCTACTTAAATTAAATGGTAAGGAAGTGGTAAACTCTCCTTGATGTTCACCAACTGTTTCTATCCATAAAGGGTTACATTGCCTGTCAAACCGTATTTTTTACTTCCCTGATAAAAAAGGGTCATTTAAAAAACTGGTTTTGAACAGCATCTGCAACCACTATTTGTTTTACCATATTATAACCTTGTCATGGGTGTAAACCTTATGCCATACAATACATTATCTCTGCTTTATCAACAGAGATCAGATGGAGGACTCTGCAAAACCCACTCAGGCATACCTAAACGCTGTCAGAGATCTGTCCCTGATTTTGACACAGACCTCTGGAAAGGACTTGCATGTATGATTATGTGCATAAATATGAGTACTTTATGCCTATGGTTCAATTAAATCACTGTGGCGCTTATAAATGAACTCTGCGGAATGTCATTATATGACCTCTGTTCACCCCGCTCATCAAACAGTGCCACTTTCCCCTCCAATTTTCCTCTCCACATTTTCTATACGAGAAAGGTTGTCTTAGCAGTGACACATGTTCGTCATAAGCAATTATTTAATTTTTATTTGTATAAAGAATATTACCATATAATAATACCATTTCGTCCTTTACTTTAATGACATGACAGTATGAAGCAGAAGTTAGGCAGATGGCTATAAAAAGGAAGAGAAAGAAGAACAACACAAAATGTCCCATGTGTTGCCAGGAGGAATTTGTTGTCCTAAGTAAGAGCTTAGAAAGCTACACCAAACTCAAGCACTTATGGATTTCCTACAACAAATTGTGACAGCATGACATAGTGTGTGATAAAGCTTTCAAATATACCTACAGTATACCAAATTTAAAAAAAATGTAGGGTTCAACATTCGTTCTGTAAAGCACAATGAGTTGTCAGTCCCCATAACACCAACCACCTTGCTCGTATGACCACTCCTGAACTGACTGCACCGTACAAAGCCGACAAGAGAATTGTTTCAGAATGCACGGCGTACCTTGTCTGCCTAAACTTTGAATGAGAACCAGAAGCTACTGCAAAGAGAAAAGAGGGCACAAAAATGGCCATATGTCGTAATTGTTCTCAGCATACTGTGTAGTGCAGCTCTTAGAAAATCTATGAAATGTCTACTATCATACTATGGAGAAACTTGATTAACTTTGAAGTCAGTGCCTTGGAATCCAAATTAATTTGGATCGACGTTTAGGCTTCTCGCCATTACCTGAGGCAGGACTCATTAAGTTAAGGAATCGCTGTTCAGCGCTCATCATGTGTGTACTAAATCTAGACTAAACTGATCCAAGGATACCGTTTGCTTTATGGCTCTGATGGATACCTGTATTAGTCTCTTCCACTAGTACTGGAGGTACTAATAGTTATTCAGTACACTTGTGTTGGATATGTTTTATTGGTTCATCAGTTACTCGTAGGATCTAAAAGCAAGGTAATAATTCTCATTAGTGACAAGACCCCACAAGATAATCAATTCTAAGAACATTTTCTATTTCATGTAATCAATAATTTGCTTTGTTGTGGTCTGTATTTAGAAAGAGCATTTTTTTATCTGTATACTTATCCTCTTGGCTGAACCGAGAATGTGTGTGTATTCATGTATATTACTATCCTGGCAATAAGAAACAAGCACGTGTGTGGCGTGAAAATGTGATTCCAAGTGTGTCTATTGTCTTTTTATTTATATTTGTATTTTTTGAAGAGAAGTCACAGACATATCTGTACACCACCTAAACTCTTGATCAACTTGAGTATCTTATTTTTACTGATAAAAATATATCTTCAAAAGAAGAAGAACAGCTCTAAGAACAGCATGTGTTTATAGTGGAAAAAGTCACTGGAAATGTTAAACCTTTACAGTCCAGCATATTGGTAATGCTTTCTCTCACCTGCGGCTTATTTATGCCCATTATTGGGTTAAAGAGTTGCTACGCCGCACTTCTTTGTCATTTCTGCTAGATATCATCAGTCCTGATATGAGGGGTAGGTAGGTTTTCAAATAGATCCACGGCCTTTGAATTAGGACCTGAAAGCCAGCCTTTGTAGTGAAGATTCATGATTTAGAAAAATCAATCTGCTTGAGTATTCTTACCGGACTAAATCTAGTTACCTAACATTGAGAAATACACAATATTGTAATGCCATGGCTATTCTGCCACAGAGGCAATTCTCTCTAACATTTTCTTCACTAGAATCCGATAATCACAGTGTTGGATTTGTCTCCATTCTGCTTAAACATCGACAATAGCAACTATAAGTAAATGGAACTGAAAACATAATACAATGACCAGGCTCTTCACCACTGCTATTTCTTGCAATAGAAAAGTCAACTGAAACTGACTTAATATGGTATACAAAGTAGGGTGTGATTTACTCTATTCACAACATCATAACCTGAATGCCATGACAAAAGTTTGATAGAACTTGGATTAACAGTGATACAAAGCAGAACAAAGAAGTACATACAAAGAAGTCCATTTTTACAGTGCCTAATAAGTACATGTGAAATTCAAAGGGAGAATAAACAAATTGAAAATTCTCATCATGCGGACATCTCTCTGTTAAGAGTGAGGAAGTCTTTGTGCAATTCAGCCACAGGGAAAACCAACAAAGCGATAGATAAGTGGGTTGGAGTGGGCACATTTAGTTTCAATGTCACTTCAAAGCAATGTGCTCTTTTCTAGCAATTGTTCCAGAGAAATCTACCATTATTTAGTTTAAAAAGAGTGAGAGGCGGAAAATGGAAATTGGTAAGAATTAGAAAGCAAAAGAAACAAAGCCAAAGAAGGGAGGAGGGATTTTAGAGAGAGTGAACAAGCGAGGCAGCAAGAGAGAGCAAGATAGATAGACGGAGAAAAAGAATGAAATGGGAAGGGGGAGCAGAGGAGGCTGTAGGAAAACGGGTGGACTTGTAGGAAGCTAATGAGCCTACCAAGGGGCACATTAGTTATTTATTTCCCAAGCTTGTTTCGGTAAGAGAAGGGCACAGCAATTAGCTTTGAGGAGTTAGCATCCCCGGGCGCTCTTATGCTTTGGCTACGAGGGAACAGGAGCGTACACTGTCCAAAATGCTAAACATCCTGTAGCAAGAACCTTGCACGAGAGAGAGATGGGGGAGTTTGTTGCACACAAGGGGGAAGAGAAACACGTCACGCTTGTGACCCGGAGCGACATCTTCAAATCATATGGGGCCAGCTGGGCTTCCGTTATGCATAAAAAAGAAGAAGAGAGAGATGGTGTCTGATTCAGACGAGACACAGAGAAAAGGCCACGTGGACTCAGGGGACTAGGAGGTAGTCAGAGTTGGCCAGAGATCCTCATTTTTAGTGGCCTGTCCCTGCCTAGAGCCATCTGCAAAAAATGTCCCAGTCAGCCAAGAAAGTAAATCTGAAATGAAATTCAAGAAGATTATGTCAATCACAGATTTCAGTCTTATAATGAATCAAGATTTTCTAAATGTAACCATGTTTGCTACCTTATGCAGGTGTATTAGTAGCAAGGGAAGTAAGATTGCGTCCACTGCATTCACAACAATATATATCCAGAAAATGTTGATCAGCATTAGGCTTCCAATATTCAGTGAGGAAAATGTAAATCA